TTTTTTTTTTTTTTTTTTTTTTTAGAAGGAAATTTTCTCTTATTCAGTGGTACTTAATTCATTTTTACTTGTTCACTCAAACGGGATATACCAAAATGGTATTGGTGCTTCAAAGGTTAACAGAATTTTTTGGTTGAGGTGAAGTTTTAGCATAACGAAATTTGAGAATGGTAATAATTTAATGATAATAAGAATGGTGATAATGTTATTGCAGCAAAAATATACAGTTTGCAGTGGTAAAGCTGTCATTAACTGCTGTCACCGTTCCTGAAAGCAAAAGAGAAGCCTTCTCAACAACATGTATTTTTTAACTTTTAAAGATTTTTCAAAGATTTACATCATAGAAAGAAAATTTGCAAATTATTGGTATGCGGACCTGTAAGGAGCCTTTTCTATTCCAACGTTCTCCGCTTAATAAGTTCTTGTGCCTGACTGCAGCACTCGATGTATTTTTCTACATTACTGCTGCAAGCAATATTTGATTTTGAAAAGAAAAGGGCAGTAGTAGTGTAGAATGCAATATAAAAATTAAGATAAAGGAGATTTTGTGGATGTTAGTCATAAAAAGTTTTTGGCTTCAGGATCATGAGTGTCAGATTAAGATTTTTCTAACATTGAAGAAAAAAACCATGCCGTTAGAAGTATCTTCCTCATCTACATATTCAATCTTCTGGTTGTACCGACAAACATTCACCTCAGCTTAATATTCTTCCTTGAAACAAAACTCATAAAAAAACTTGTTTTTAGCACTTAAGTGGCCAATACTGGAAAGTTCTCAAATTCTCTCTAAATAATAACACTTCGTCCTCTATGTAATAAGATTAGGCAAAGTCTCCATCAAGTCGAAATTACTACTTTGTTATTAGCAAAGTGCAAACGTCGCAGCTGCCACGGTTTTCAGAGGCACTGCGGGAAACTAAAACTCGAAAAAATTTTTGCTGTGTCACTACTGTAATTAAGTTTGCTGACTTTCAAAAATGCTTCTTTTTACTGTTAACCCATCCTCACTTTTTGTTTGACTTTCTCTACCTCGCTTGGTTGAGCCGCGCCAATTTCACGTTTGTCTTAATATTTCTTTCTAACTTTCCAGTAGTCTTGTGCTAAAGTTTTGTTTTAATCTTTGTGACCTTCCAAAAGACATTATATTGATGGTGCGTTCCTTGTGAATTTGGAAAATTCAGATTCACTCTCTAAACAAATTCCCTTATCACAAATTCCAATTTTCATCACCATTTTCTGGCCTATCTAAATGCATTTTCTCAGTCATATTGTTTTCGCTATATGTACTGGAATTTTTGATTCATGAAGTAGCCATAGAACTTGTCTGGGAAGGCTTCTTAAAATAAGCACTCATATAAAAATGGGTTGAAACGACTTTTAGAACTCATTTTGGTCCATAATTTTTTCTTCGTTCTTTTATAAGAAGTGTAAGTCATGAAAGCCACTGATTAGCCGGTACAGTGGCAGAAATATACAGTGGAAAGCAATATGCAGTCGGAGGAGAGGTTGAAGTAAACGAGTTACACTCAAAAAAACATAATCATTGGTCTTTACACTCACTAATAGAGACGTCGTGAAATACCATAAGCACTAAAACGAAACATGAGCATCAAGTTAATAATTTTATAACGATCTCATAGAAAGTCTGAAACTACCAGAGTGTAAAACGTGGAGGAAAACCTTGGATACAGATGATGAGGGTAAGACAACAGTGGGTAGAAGTAAGCCAAAAAGTGAATACATTCACTTAAGGTAGCGCCCAAATGGCCATTCCAAGCAGAACCAGAAAACAATAATCACATTGCATATACTTTTACTCAATTCGCATAGTAATCGCTAAAGAGCTGTATCTCTGGCAAAATCGGAACCTTAAGCGAACCAAAACTCGCTATGATTTCTTAAAAGTAATCAAAAAATACCCTGACCTCAGAAAGTCCTCCTTCCCACAGTAGTAACCATCAGCTAACATTATACTTACAACTGTTGTAAAAACGGGTAAATCAAATAGATTCCTCACTGTGCCATAGTACGCACACGAAGTACTGACACAAGCAAGCAAAGTACACCTTTTCCAAATGAGATAAACATCTCCCAGTCACACTATATGTATTCGTATACCGTTAAAAATTATGTCAGGATCAAACATGAAGCAGAAGAGCGTCAACACGGAACATTCGTTTATTTTTTGATATCTACTATACGGAATAACGCTACATCAAAACAGAATAAAGTGCACTCATGATCAGTAAGGAAAACAATCAAATTCATGCACTGCTCATTAAAAAACGAGCGTCCACAACAGTATCTCATCAAAATAATAAAAAAATGAGAAATCACCAGTGAAGCATTGGCAATTGATAGGCAAAACAGCAAAAAAATATGAAATGACAAGAATGCTGCAAGATTTAGTGAATTTACATTTCATTCACGCTATATGAGCACAAATTTGATCTCGAAGGAAATTTGTCTTGAAGGAAATTTTGGAATCATATTTTTGAGAGAAAAAAACGCGTGGCGCTAATTTCTGATCTAAAACTGGATTATCATACCTTCAACGAGAACTAAACCAGAACTTCAAAGTCTGAAATCTTGTAGTACTCATTTTGCTTTCAAAGCTTCTGCTGATGTAGCAAATGGCTGCACGAGAGAAGTGTCTAAAGTGGCGCACCGTATAAATTGTTTAGGAGTATTGCAATAGACATCTGCATAAAGAATCTCAGCAGGAGCTACCGAGTCCTTCTGTGCAACTTTAACAGCTTCGTCCACCTAAAAATTACTAACTCGTGACAAATATAAAGCACTATGAAACGAAACTGCTTGGTTTCGAAACATCTGCTGCCACAAACCTCCTTTCTGACTTCCTTGTCTAATTCCTTGAGTTCTTCTTCTGTCGCTAAATCTGCAGTGAGTATTTTATCTTTGAAACTCGTTATAGGATCTCGGGATTTCCGCACTTCTTGAATTTCTTCACGCGTTCGGTAACTGAAGCAAAAAGCACCTCTTTTAAAAACCACAGAAACCGCGCAAATGATAAATTACCACAATCATGTTCATTCACATATATATATAGCTTTTAACACTTTGAAATATCAGACTTATTTCAAGCACCTTGTTCCAGGGTCCGACATAGAATGACCACCATATCGATACGTTGCTACCTCAATCATAAGAGGACCCTTACCAGCGTTGCAGTACTCCTTGGCAAAGCGAATAACTTCTCGAATCGACAATAAATCCATACCATCGCACTAAAACCGATTAACTGCTTAATTGCAAAAGACGGAAAAATATGACATTATTTTAAAAAAATTAATTTAAAAAAGAACTAAATTTACGTCCTTATACTTGGTTTATGGGTTTAAGGCTATCGGTGTACTGATGTAGAAGTTTAAAGCAAAACCATAATTTTTTACATCATGAGGAGTTGCAAAGAAGGATTTATAACGAACTTTCAGTAAAATTTGTTATACAGACCTCATGAGAAATTTAAATTAAGAGAACCAGTAGTAAAAAGAAAGGTACTGGCTAACTAATCTACCCATATTCCTGGAACATAATCTCCTCGTGTGTAGTACTCAGGACAGGCCGAAGAACGTGCAGCTGCCGTTCCCATACCGTAATAGTTGTTTTCACATATATAAAGCACTGGCAAATTCCATAACTTTGCCATATTCGTTGCTGTAATTATGAAGCATGTTGAAGTCATCATCAAATCACTATTAAAGAAATTATCCTCTCGCAAAATGTTAATTACGAAAATTGTAAGGTCTACATTCAAATAATTGTCCTTGATTAGCAGCTCCATCACCAAAAATAGTTAGACAGACATTCTTCTGGTTCCTGTACTTCATAGCGAAAGCGATTCCAGTGCCTAAAGGTTGTTGTGCTCCCACAATACCATTACCACCAAAAAAGTTTGGCGCATACATGTGCATAGACCCGCCTTTTCCATGGACATTTCCGGATACTCGGCCTATAATATTCATTAAGCCCATTTCCCTCTTTAAAGCTGAGACCTTAGGTTTAAACTACCCTTTATCTCCTTTAGGGAACAGAAGGCTTATAAAGAAGGCACTTTAATCATGAAACATAATAATCACTTCGAACCGGTACAACTTCACTCCTGCTAAAAGTCCAAAACATCCATCTATTTCACCTGATGATTCATTCTCATAATAGGTATCCATTCATTAAACTTATTACGCCGTTTCATTTTCAGAAATTACCATTCTCACCTATCCTTGCAAAACACATTTATCTAAGAATCTCTATATGTCTAAACAGTTTTACTGCCTCCCAATGTCATCTTATGCGAAATAATTCCAATTAGCTGGAGAAGTGTCATTCACATTTGGCTTAATTCTTTAAAAAAAATTTTTCAAAAAAATGCACAGAACAATAAACGAAACTGAGCAAGAACTGCTAAAAAAATAAACAAAATACGAATCTGCAGATCTTTTTTCCACAAGTGATTCACAAAGACAACCCACCTGTAAGTTCGGCTAAAACCTGAGCAATACTGCCACTACATATGTAAGTCCAGCCATGACATCTATAAGATGTAATGATTGCGTCATCAGGGTCCATAGCAGCCTTCATGCCAACAGCACAAGCCTCCTAAATGTCAACGACATCAACGTCAGGTCTACACAAAAATAAAACATTTTTGCTGAAGAAATGCTTACTTGACCAGAATACAAGTGACAAAAACCTCGAATTTTTTTTTCTTTATACAGGTTACCTGCGGCTGTTTCCATCCTACGTATTACCTAAACAGTAATCGTAACTTTTCAGTACTTTTGCTAGAACTTTCAATTTCCTAAAAACGGTAAAGACAGTAAAAAACAACTCTGCAGTAACTGCTTTAACAAATTCAATAAACTCAAATCAAAGTAATAATATCCCTCTCTTGGCTTGTTACAAAAAATACCAAAGTGGAAAAAATCTCTTTTAATTTTCACCTTCTAAAAACAGCTTTTAAAATTTAACATCAGTCTTCAAAGATTTCGGTGTATTTTCCTTTTAATAACTTTTTACTTTAATTGTCACCCATGTAGTGAAGAGCAACTGTGATGTAGTAAGGAGAATATCTAAAAATGTTGTATACACAACCTGCCTTAAAGATCCGAGTATATTAAAAGCTTCTGCATATTCCTTGTATGCTATACAACGTCGCTTCAAAGCCTTATTAACTGGAGCGTTAAAAACAGTAAAAATTTTTTTAAACACTCTATCAAAGTGCTCACATATTCCTTTTGAGAATTCAAGTGAGTCAACCATGAATCATTAACAAGAGATTTTCCCAGTGAAAAAGGCCCAAAATGTGCGTAATTTTCCCTGTTCACTTCGATCGAAGAATCTTCATGAATATGATCGCTATATAACAGTATTACCTTGTTTTTTCATCAAATCCTTAGCCCTGCATTACTGCTTAAAAACAATCTACAGTCAAGCCTCTAAAGTGAGGTTTACTGGTCAACGAACAGTAACTCCGGACAAGCTTAATTTCCATACAGTCTCATTTCTCTCTTCTGTCCAGTAAACTTTGTTTGTGAACAAGGAAACTTCACAAGTTTGTTTCTGCCGTGGTCTTAGCTGTCTTTGAATAAACAACCTCAATCGCTTCAAATCGTCGCCATTACTAAGATATTAATACTTCATCTTTTCAGTGGTTCAGAAAGCACATTTACTACAGCCCCGTACAACACAGCCTTCTAACATCTTTTGAGACTGATTCACTCTTTCGAAAACTGTCACCAAAAGCAATTAAAAATCATCATAAAAATATCAAGTCGTCACTTTCCTAGTGTACTACGAAGTAATACTGCAAATGTTTTCAACTATAAAAAAATGATGTTTAAAAAACACAAATGATATTTTCTTTATTTTCTTAGTCTATTACTATTCGTGATATCCTACCAATACCAATCATCAACGACCTCATCTTCTTAAAAAAACGTTAATGCAGGAAATGCAAATTTCAAAAACTTACTACATTTAATTCGGATCTTTTTAAAATATGGTTCATTTTTTTAGAAGTAAATTATTACTTGCATCTGGTGGTAGTACTTCAACGCATCATCCCTTTTGAGTGTCACTTCAGTCGGTGGACCTGAATCCAACTTATGCAGCTTATAGGGCTTGGTTTGAAAAGACGCTTCATTGCTCACACAACGAGCCGCCAAAGCAAGTAGTCCATTTTGCTGCAGCGATGCTGACAGATACCCACCACTCTTAAAGTTTACCAGCTTATTCTGCATGCCAATTTAATAGCTATCACAAAATTTCCAGGAGGTTAAAGCTCACATAATCTGTCATAAAACTTAACAATAACTAACAGCAATTACTGATTTTATGCGATCAACAATTTTGGCAGATAGTAACAAAAAAACTGCAATTTTCTAGTAACGCACCTTGAATATACTGCTGAAGGCATTCATCATTTTCAACAGGTCCCCACGATAATATATTACCCAATTTCAGTTAACCAAAATGTTAAAAGTCTGCAAAGAGATTTTTTCTTTTTGATAAGGGGTACTCTCACCTTAATCAACCGCCATAGAAGCCACTGCAAGATTATAAACAAAAATGCCAGTCTTTTCAATCTAATAGCCCTTGAAGAAAGACTAAAACTTTAGGACTTCATAAACGTTATAAAAGAAAATCATCTTAAACAGCCACTTCACATCATTTCTTTAAGAAACGCCTCTAAAGACCAATGCCTTAGTGTCACTGAAAAGTCCGTTCAAAACCTCTCACCAATAATTGTTTCATGGTCGATAGGTTGAAAGCGCGGCTGAAATTTCACGAGAGAGGAATGCGAAGGAAATAAGCTCAGTAAATAGAAAGATGTTTTGGAATTAAACATATAAACCATTAACATTTGTTAGAAGATTGATAGAACGGAAATCTTATAGAAAATAATAAAATAAACAGAAAAGATCTTTTTTGCCATGAATCAATATATAAATAGGCCTACTGGCAACTACTGCATGGACAGAAATTTGCTTCAGCAGTTGGTAACCATTTAAAGATCAATAAAATTGGATACGAGTCTTCCAGCAAAGAATACTTTTTAAGCTTTTGACTCACTAGAAAAATTTTCTACAAACATATAACACATAAAATTCACAATAATTTAGTTCTGCAGAAGATGAAAGAGGCAATAAAAAAACCTGAAAATAACACTGATAATGACCGCATCTTTTAAGATTCTTCAAACTGGCTACAACAAATCAGCAAATAATTGATATCAGATTTTAACAAAACTACTACTGCAGTTAAATCAGTGCATGAGCGACAGAGCCTGCAGCAGTATGGACTAATCAAATTATTGCTCTGACATATGTGAATAAGCAAAACGAAAAATGCTTATGTTCAGAAAAAAAAATTGCAAAAGAAATTAAAAAAAATGAACTAGTATTTTCAACCAAAACTACTAATAAACAAAAAAGTTTCCACTTTTACACACAACTGAACAATGAAACCATTTTTTATGTTCCGACAACATACTTATATCCAACATCTATCTAGTCAACTGCTAAAATCGCCAAAACAACGGAAAAGCTACAATGAGGCTGCCCAGAACACCCAACAACAATGCACCTACCCAAACTCTTACAACGCAACTAAGCCTCAAGGTATGCGTGCTCTCCGCATAGCAATCAATAGGTGCATCCCATACTAACTTCTCTTCCACACGCACTTCACTATCACAGCTGTTTATCAAGTCACATACTGCAGCTGCAAATTTGTTCTTTCTACCGCTCCTGCTTCTACTTCTGTCATTTTCCTCACTTTTTTTTTTCCACTGAATCACGATAACTACAACAACTACAGCAATAGTAACAACAACAATGACAACGACTATAATAATAATGGTAGTAACGATAATAATGACAATGATAATAGTGACTGCAGTAACAAAGACAATGACACCGACAATAACAATAACAATAACAATAAAAATAACAACAAAAATAAAAATGATAATGATACTAATAAAATAATAATAAAAAATAGAAATAGAAACAGAAATAAAAATTAAAATTAAAAAAAAAAAATAATAGTGAGAGTAGGTGTAATAAAGACAGCAATATTATTGTCATTATTAATAATAAGAAAAAATAATAATTATCACAATAAAAAATCCCAATTTTGCACCACCCAAACTACGTAACTGCAAGCAGCACAGAGCTGTTCAAAAACCTTTTTGTCCTAACAGTTCCACCAGTATCGAAAATGCGCTAGTTTATTTAGCAAACGTGTTATTAACTTCACCCTACACCTGTCTTACCTTCTGCAACCATTATATAACCGATGAGGCAAGTAACAAAACGTCCCATCGGAGAAACTGTCAAAGAGTTACACACTGCAACCCAACGACATACAAATATAGCCAAGATATCGGAATCAAACTGTTCGACACACCAATCTTTACATTACCAAAACCAACAACTTCAAACCAGAGCACGCATCCTCCTCTTCAACACATCACTCGTGCTCACGAAAAATCACTATGCAGAAGGAAACAAGCCAAAAACCAATTACATCTCCCTTTCACGTCAGCTCAATTCAACTTTGAAACGCCAAGCCGTTCAGTAGCGAAAATTTTTATCTTTGAAACATTTAAGCACTGCTTCAAACCAGTTCCAATACAGGCAAAAGTAAATAGTTTCTGAAAATTCTGTTCTAGTTAATACACAAAGTCACAGATGACCAGAACTTTGAAAAAAAACACTCAGTATCTCTACTTGTAAGAATGAAAAAATTGTTAGCGGTGTCTCGATTCATCAGACTCACCATAAAAGCTTTGAGACTGAATGTTTTTTTTTTCAAAAAATTAGTAAAAGAGAAATAAAACTTTGATAAACCAGTGACGGTATTGTTATAAAATAAGGCAATAAACATATTAGAAAACTGAAAACCAGTTTAATATTAGAAAAGTTCAACCCATAACAAAAGAATAAACAATGACAGCACAATAAATATACAGACACATCTTTCTTTTGTATGTTTTATTGTGACTGAAGGTGACTTTCCCAAAATTTCCAACATCCACTAAAAACAGCACCGCCCTGCCTCTATCATCGGGCTTTTCCCAACCATAATGCTAAGTAACATTTCATTTTGCCTTCGATAGTTTTTCTTTCATCCACTCTTGTATCTTCACCCTCAGATCGTCATCTAAAAAACACTTCTATAAAAACGAAGTAATACTTAGTAATACAGGTTAAAATTATCAGAAAGAAGCAAAAACCAATCTTTATCTTTTAAAATGACCACAGACGATTTGAATTACCTGGAACAAGTTGGCTTTCGGTAAGCGGTTGTCTGGTGAAAGGGTCGGTTTGGCTACTCAACAAGTGACATAGAATATGCTTCCTGTCCATAACCAATCCTGACGGTAGTTTAACTGGATCAACCATCAGAGTGTTCATAACAGGATCTAAAAGAATAAGAACTTCATAAAAACTACTTCGTATGCCAATTCTCCATTATCACATACCAAGAAATCAACTGATTTTATTTATTTAGAGCACTCATAAGGAACAGAAGATGCATGTTAAATTTGAAGAAATCAAAGGTGTTTTTGCATCACTGAGACTTATGATGCCCATCAAATGAAGTTCTTTTCTTCTGTGTTTCCTCACAATTTCGTTTTCACTGAACCTCAAACTACGCCATAACAACCAATTATATTGAATTTGCAGCACCAGAAACAACATTAACTTGCACTGCCGAATGCAAACTTAAAAATGTTTAATTCTTGAAAAATATAACTTTGTAAATGAGACTGAACCTCGATATTCCTCCGGTATATCATCACCAAAATCTTCCTCATTCTGAGCTTTTTGTTTCCATTTCGCTTCAGCCATATCAGCTAGATGTTTGAAACGTTCGATCTCATTAATCGGTACAATATTGTTCGCCGAAAGACGAGACAGAGCCATTTCGAACAATTCAGGGAGGTAAGATCGCTGGAAATTTTAATTAACTTTAAGCAATGACAAGGGACAACATCTACTGTTCATCATATTTCTGAAGCCTGTTTCAAAAAAAATTATTTAGCAAAGTACCGAAGTACGTAATTTTTCTGTGAGGAATCTAACTGAATAAGTTACAGGAACCATACGACTGACCTCATCACTGGCTATGTACTGAGCAAATTTATCCGAGGAGAGATTCAAGTAAACATGAACTATCTGCTGCAATAAAAAACGAGGGTCCCACGTAAAACGATGGATTGCGTCACGCACTTTCAGCTCCGTGCACTTCGGTCCACAAAGCTGTGAAAGATTGTAGTCTAACATTGATGCCAGCCGTTCTCCTAACATCTAAAAAGACGTTCGTTTATTGCCTTCTTATTTGCAAAATCCTTGTTTTCTCACCCAAAACAACATTTCTTATATTACTGAAAGATACCTGTCCCAGGAATGGCTCGGGAGCATCTGCAGTAAAATACGTAAAAAGATCTAAAGTATCTCTCCCCAGAATCAACCATGATCTCACTCCTCTTTTCGCATCGTCAAGACTACCTTCTTTCATTTGCCGATCCTCAAAATTCATTTTTTCCCATTCCGAAGTTTCCATTAGTGTTTCAATATCGTGTATTTTTTTCAGTGCTAACAGAGACTCATCAAGGAGGTATGTTGTGTCATTAATAACCATATTGATAAAACGAATAAACTTTGGGGAACACTTTCTGAAATTCTTTTCTATATAAGGCTATAACTTCACATCTGAGAAAGGTTCAAGTAACAACAAATTTGATAACTTACCAGTTTAGTTCCATTTTAAGTCTCATATTTTTTGATTTCACACTTAAGTGAAGAAAGCTCTGAACGTTGATCAGTTGAACAGTCTAAACAACACAATTCCACAAACCTTGCATAGTTGATCATTATGCTCTTATAAACAGCACTTTCCCAAAGAGAACGAAAGATCACTTGTATAGAACGACGAATGTTAAATTTGTCATAAAACTCTGAACTAGCTCCAGTGGTCTCTACATCTGAAGAAGAAGTTGATGTAGAATTCATCTAGATAAACTTCTGTAGATTCCAAAAATTTTAATACCTGCATAGAACTTTACTAAACTTGGAAAAAGACTATCGATTGCCAATGGATTGTTAATTATGCTCCTATGAATTTGATAGGCAGCTGGGTTAACAGATGGACATACCATAAACAAAACATCCACTACCTAAAAAAAACAAAAGTGAACGGATACAAGTTGGAAAAAAGCATCTCCTCAAAGATTACCAAAAAATTAAATATAGCGCGATACTCAAATCTAACAGATATGCAATTACATTAGCAGCCAAATACGGATTGTTAAAGTACTGGGTGTTGCAAACAAAGACTAGTAACTGTTCCGTGAGATCGTTCCGCGATTCGAGAAGAATTTCGGGTTTACTCCTAAAGACAAATTAAAATTCTATTATGAAACGAACTATGAAGAGAAGTAATCACATTTAGTGCTGAGATCAAGTGGTGAATTAATAAACCTGTTTTAAACAAACTTGTTTCGATATAATTCATTCGTTAATTAACCAAGAAGAAACATCTAGAAATTACGTGAAAACGAACTTTAGCAGAAAAACAAGTAACTCCAGCGCATTCTCGAGAAAAAACTGCGGCATAGCACAGAAAATATTAGGAGCTTCTTGTGGGAACTTTTGATTATTCAAAGGGCTAAAAGCAGAAAAAGAAATAGTGATGACGTCATAGATAAGTGCATGAATCCATGTGGCTTCATAATAACAGAAAGCAAAAATTACACCTTCTCCAATAAAAAAATGAAGTAAAAACTGTGTATAAGCAAAGTTTTAGCTAAAACAATTTTAAACATACAATTCAGGATTAATTAGCTTCACCAAAAATGTCAATTCCTGACTGCAAAACCTCAAAAGACGGTGCAGGAGAACATTGTCTGTTACCAAAGCTTCAATACACATTGTAGCACGTACTACATTCTAAAAAGAAAGTGAAAAATAAAAATAATTTTTTGTTGGAAAAATTTGGTACTTTAAAGAAGTATAGTAACAAATCTGAAAACATTCTTCAAATCAATACTTCTCCAAAGCTGTAAAACGTCTTATACTATTCAAAAAATTGGTCAATCAAAAATTTAATAAAAACAGTCGGGCTTGGAAGTCGTATCTAAAAGACAATTAAATGACGTAATCCATTTGTTCTAAATCATTTTCAAAATTAAATTGGGAACCTACTGTGTAATCGACTGAGTCAAGTAATGAAATTACATTTTACGTCAAAGCTTATTAATCTGCTAAAAGCAGGCCCAATCAAAAAATTAATAAAGTTCCATTTAGAAAACCAATATTGGAAAGTGTACAGTTACAAAAATTCTATACCGAACGAACTGCCATTGTCTCTTTCAGACGCATCTCTAATTCAAGTTTTTGATGTAATAGGAGTTGTAACTGCTGAAGCTGTAAACGCAGTTCTTTCAAACTTGCATCAAGCTGATACAAAGCATTTCTTAATCCCTTCATATGAGAGCAGCTTGACGTGAATGAGACATGTAACGCCTGCATCGTCAAATAGAAGCATTCAGTTGGAAACTTCAAATCGAAATTAACATCTGCAACAGAGGTAAGATTTTTTAACACGACTGGCAAACAGCTGCTCTTATCGACTAACACAGAAAAAAAACCAACCAACTGTCTTCCCAAATTCTGCTGCCTCCTCTAAAGAAAGCTTTAATCTTGTCTCGTCCTTCAAACTAATGCGACATTTTGGATGAAAAAGATAATGGGTATGAACCTAAAAGAACCGTACTTTACCTCTGACCAAAGAACTCTAGCACACGAGCTCAACATTTTGATAATATTAATAAATAAGTTTTACATCCCACTGAGTTGAATAAAAAAGAATGTTTAAAAAAAGAATGCACATTTAAATAGTCTCAAAGCCACTTTCTCTAAGAATGAAAAAAGTATTTTCAATAAACAAATTGACCTAAATCCAGTAAATTTCAGTAACATACTGATAAAACCAAAAAAAGATTCAGGGTAGATATTACATTAACTTCATTACTAATTAAGCAATCAAAAATAGAATACCTTCTCCAAAGTTACTTTCTCAACAAGATCAAGCATGACACTTAGAAAATTGATCATAAAACCATCTGACGAAACTTTAGATAAGTCAGGCTGCAATAAGTATCATTTAGGAAATTTTGTTATCGACCGCTGAAAAGTTGGCGGAACAGGTGTTAGCCCCAAACTAGCAAAAAACTATAATCCGTCATGAAAACCATTACATGCATTTGACGCCTTCGTAAATTATAATGTATTAATGTAGTTATAAAATCAAGGGTACGGTTGCGCGACGTACTATTTGCCAACAAATTATGCATAACATCATGAAGATTATTCTGAAACAAAACATTATGCTTGAGAATAATCGTAATATACTGTTTAAATTACTCATTCCTTCAACCAAAATATCATAAAAAAATTTTTATCAAATATACATCAAGGAGCAAAAAAGAACGAACTTGAACTGAGTGCACGGCATTTAAATATGGTTCGTACAGCATCGCCTTCTGTACTTGCTCGGGTGGATTGTCACATTCAAAAAACGGAGAGAATTCAGAATACTAAAATAATTCTGTGTTTTCTTCATAAAATATGAGAAAATAACGGTTACTACAATTAATACAAAGTAACTAAAAAATAATTTTTCGAAAAATTAGACCAGAAGATTTATTTGGAAGGTTTTCTATTATTATATACCCGTTCATCAACGTTTGGTGCAATGCTAAACGCAAAGAAAGGGCCCAAATAGCAAAGCTTGGAGAATTCTCTTCCTTCAATTTCCAGTGTGGCATCTGGGATAAAATCGTCTCGAGAAACAAGCTAAATACGCAAAAATATAAAAAAACTGTAAGTCAAATAAAGTACAAGAGAAAGGCAGAAAAGAGAATGTGTTACTGACTTAATGTTAAACAAAAGTTTAAAAACAATTTTCCCCAATTAACGAAAGAAAAATACCAAGTCGGCTATAGGCCTCCTACTTGAAACCAACTTGATGCCGATAAGAGTTCGGAGGAGTGTATAAGGCATTAAAGCATAACGTGCATTTTTTCTGTCCGCCATGCATTGGTGTCGCATTGAGTTATGACAACTGTCAAGAACTGGGTTAAAAACCTAAAGTTTAGCATCGGGAATAAAGCCGTTGTTAGCTGCATAAATATTATTCGAAAGCTGACTTTAACTTCTTATTTTAACTCTACAGTAAATCCAAAAAGTCAAATATGCTGGATATTTAGAATCTTTCCAAACCCTTAAACACTAACACTCACGAGTTATAATACATTGATTCGCTAACCTCTGAAAGAGCTGCTTCATCCATTTTCTCTGAATCCACACAAGTTGCAATCATGAAATAAAGAAAATTATTTGACACAGATTGTTGATACATTAAACGCATGAAAACCGCAATTACTTCTTCTCTACGTACCCTGAAAACAGAGTTCAGAAAAAAGGAGCAAATTGGAGTCACTGCTGAAAAAGAAAAATTTAGAAATGTAGTAAACTGATATTCAGGTAAGTCAAAATTAATGTACTTTCTGACTGTTAGTAACTTTTGGAAAAAGCATTACTAAACATGCATGTGAAAAAATTTTGTTTTTGACGTACAACTGGGTATAAAATCCTCGCAGGAAATAAATAGTTTGGACAATAATTCGCGTCTTCACAATTGGCAGAATAAACCTTTCGTAATCCATGAGAAACTAAAAGAAGAACTAATTTAAGAAAGAGATGCAAAGTAATTGCTTAGGAAAGATCAAAAAGAACTACAAAAAATCAAAAATAAAATTTTTTCGACTACTTCTTGACTCCTGCTTAAAAAAAAAAAAACAAGTGATGGAAAAAATTCCCCTAATACCTTATTCTGATTCTCGCCATCAACCCTGACATCCGCTGCCATTAACCACCGAAGAACTGAGTCTGCATATGAGCAAGGAATGTCAAATAGAGGTTCATGTAATGCTTTACCCAAAGAACAAGCGGAGTCAACTTCCATGACATTATTTCTGGAAAGTTGGGAAACTCACAAGAACTGCGCTTACAAATTCGCAACAAAAATATAATTCAAGACGTACACACTATCCTTTAAAGAACAAATGCGCCTCATAATCAGGTCGTCAATAAATACCGTTAAATCATCTGGAAAAAAAAGCATTAAAAATAAAAGCTCTTTAAGGGAGAAAACAAAAAAGCTTTAAGAGTAAAATCCGTTACCAAAACTCACAAACACTTCCAAAATAGTAAACTGATAAAAATTTCGAAGTTTAAATCTCTCTTTGTAATAGTTATTGTAAAGTTACGAAAAAGCACCCTCATATAACAAAAACATTGAAAGATTTCGGAAAGATCACAACTATGCAAAAAGAATAGCTAAAAAGTTAAACAGGTAGCAATAAGTCAACAAAATAGTCTCAAAGAAATAGAAATTAACCATGATTTAAGAAGGTCTGTAAATCGCATTTTGCAAGAATTTCGCTAGTAGCCGGCAATCCGTCTTCAATTTCTCCAAAGATTCGTTTTACTAGTGAACGTATCCTCTTCAACTTAAATTCTTCATCACCCTGAACAATTTTTCTTCTTCAAATTAAAAGTCTATTGATCAAACTTTACTTAACCACTTTATTTACGATAATTTCTCAGCATTACTTCATTAAACTCTGTCTGAATAATTATTCCTTCAGTAAACTGTAAGACATTTCAGCATTGAGTAAAAAGGTCTTCACAGTTCAACTTGCATCATCTCCACCTTCAAAACAGCTATTCAGGGCAAAAGAACGTACACCACTTGCTGTATCTTACCGTATCGAAGCAAGTACACTCAGAAATTTATTATGGTACAGCCACTTAGCACACGCTACATCCTAATAGATTTCTGACCTCCTCCCTGACCGTCACGCATCAAAAGTAGTCAAAGTAAGAGAATAATGCAGAAGAATAAAAGTCATCAGGGCAATGAGACAAGCAATCTGAATAAATTTTTTCTAAATAAACCCCTCGTTTAATAGCTTTTAAGTCGATGAAATACGCAAGACGACGGTGCAAAACTAAAAGAGTTGAAGCAACCAAAATTTCTGATTACCTCCAA